TTTGTGGAATTTAGTGTGAATCTGGGGCTGCTTGCCAGCTGGGCAGCAAGCTCTGCCAAGAAGGCTTGGACTGTGTTAAAAAGGGTTATTTGCCAGAACAGGTAAGCATTTCTCTCTCCAAAATGGAAATATTCATGGAAGTGAATATGGCCTGAGATCAATTTTAAAGTGCACGGTAAACTTGGTCACAATCTCGTATCCTGATTATTAATCTGCGTATAATACTAGAAAATAATTAACACTAAGTCTAAGCCACCTGTAACTGCTACTTGTGTAAACCCAGAGTCTAGAAATTGGTCTAGAAATAGAGAATTAGATGGGGTAGGAAACTAGAGCAAAGTATATGCCAGAGGTCAGTATGGTGACATAAAAGTCCCCAAGGTGGGCAGTGCTAGTCAGGAAGTGGTTTGGCCAAGGAAACAGAGAATAATTCTGATTCCAAAATTACATATTTCCAAGGCTTCCCTTGTTTTTCAGGGACTGGTAGGTCTTAACAAGCCTTTGTGCCTTTGAAGCTATTCCCTACTGAAAGCTGACTTGTTTATGTACCACATTGTAAGAGTGGATCACAAAAATACCTGTCTAAAGTGCTTATATATAAGCAGAAAATGTACAAACTTTGAGAAGATTGCTAATATAAGAACACAGAGGACCTGTGAGATCTTTGAACTTAGTCCTCTGTAATCATAGGCAACCCTAAGAGTAACAAAGGCCAGTCTTTGTGCTGTTAAGCTTCTTGCGCAGTTTATCTGAGGAAAGGAGATTGTAGTGCTTCCTCCTGCAACCTAGGCATCCCTGAAGAACCTACCTGCCTTCTCCCCTTCCTCTGCTTCTGTCAGGACTCTCCATGATCCTTACCTTATGCTTGCAATCGCCCCACTTTTCAGTTATCTCTAACTGCACTCTGCAACAACCTTCTCTGAAACTAATATTGGTGCTTTAAGATATGACTGTGCTAAGGACAATGCAGATATTGCTAGTATTTCTAGATTTTCCAACTCAGTACAGACTGCTGTAGTTTCAGAATCTGTCCATGTTCCCAAGGATCATTTCAGATCACCCTCTGGGTACATGAAATTTCCATCGTTAATTCCTTCTTCAAACATTTGTTGATATGCCTCTGGCAGACTGTGTTGGCCCAAGTGATTTTTGCCCATTTACATTGTTTTTCCTACTTTGAAAGTGATTAGTGGACACAGTTTCTACTTTCATCTGCTACTTTGGGCACAAAAGCCCAATTCAGCCGTATAAAAGCTTTGAAAATGTGACCCTTTATGTCTAGTCCAAACTGTCTCTCCAGTGGTTTGGTTATTTCTGCACTGACTTGAGCTTTTCTCTGAAAGATTTCTTTCCTGACAGTGAGTTTCCAATGCTCTTTTCAGCTTCCTTTCTGTTAGCCTTCAGATTTAATAGACTTCATGATTTGAATGCGAGTAAGTGTAGGAGGAAGGTGATGGTGCCATATATGCCAGGTGTAAGAGTATTTTCTTTTGTTCACTGTTGGGTCTAACTGCTGATATTTTCCAGGGACACCCCTATGTCTATACAGTTGTATCCAACCAGCAAATAGCTGCCAACAGAAATCATTCTTTCAAATGCAGACAGTCTCATTTCAAAGTGTATAGAAATAGCTGCCATAAGCCACTGGCTTTATTTCTAGACACTTTTTGTAATAGCACTGCATTTGTGCTGAACAGGGTATATGATGTAATGAACTTATTTCTGGAGCCTGATAAGTTTTCCCTGATACGGAAGAGGATCCAAATTCTCCCTGGCTATCCCTAAGATTGAGAAGGCAGAATAGCTCTGGAGCAGAAGCCAAGTTTGGGATACAACATGGAAGTTTTGTGGAAAAAAGAGTTAGAGAAATGATCAAACATTATTATTATCCTCAGATCACCCACTCCTATTAGTAGAGCTAACAGATGGAGTAGGGATTAGGATAACTGTTGGATGTTTGACCCTTTTTTTTCTTTTCTTTAATGATTCGTCAACTTATCCTGATTTCTACAAACACATCTGCCATTTACAAATATTCATCTGATATGTCTAGATATTCAAATGTAGCCTACTTGTTAAACTATTTCTGAACTGAAAAATAAAGAGGTGTCTGATATATTAGGAAAAATCAAGACAATTTTTTGGCTCCTGCAAAAATCCAGCTCTGAAGAAGGCAACAAAATAGTCACCTTCTAATAGGAAAACCCCTCTAGCTATCTCTACATCAATTGCTCCCAGTTTAATAATTTGTACAAGAGGTCTGCAGAAAGAATCTCAAGGTACTCAAAGGGCAAAACAAGACACAGTTCTCAGATCTTGCTGGCAATTCCATACCTTGTACTATTATTCCTACTGTTATAGCCTGGAGCTATTTTCTTCTACTTCAGGGGAATGAATTGGTTGTCAAAGCCTTAGGAATTAGGAAACTGTCAAAACAAAACCTTAAGCTACTCTTTGCTCCCCCTTCTGTGTTCCTGCACCCAGTATAATCAAACAGAATTTCAGGATTTTGTCCTTTTCCTGGACAGATGACAGGTTGTTTTAAACAGAAAATATCAAGTGATAAAAGCAAGTGCTATTTATCTATATAACCCAAGGAATGGATTATTAATATTATTATATGAATTATTATCCTAAAATCTGTGAAGCCTGATCTGTTGGTGGGCATTTTCGTAAACACACAGTTTTCCCCCAGGTACCTGCAAGAGTTACCAAATAGATTAGCTTATGAAGCTCTCTTGGTTCTAAACCATGGTACATATTAGATAGCAACAATCTTCCCTTCCAGTTTGACCTTCTCAGAAATAAAGTAGACTTTAGACCCAGTCAGGTCTTACCATCACTTCTCTGCACACTTGCTCACTGCCCAGAATGAAATGATTTATGCTATTTGAAAACAAAACATAGTGTTATTTTTTGTAGCCACAACTGAATCTTCCAGCTGCCATCCCATATGGGATTCTAAGGAAATAATGACATGAACAGCCCTATTCATTTTAGTTACCGAGACTCCGAAAGACTGGTGATACTTGCAATGTCTTTATCACTAACAGGCATTCACTGCTGATCATAACGGTAAGATCCCAGAAGCTTTGGGATTTGTAGCTGAGCTTGCTTAGAATAGAACCACTAAGGGAATATCTACACTGCAGTTACTTCCCAGAATAGAACCACTAAGGGAATATTTACACTGCAGTTACTTCCCACTTTGTGTACTTGGATCAGAGCTGATTTTATCTAGTTGGTGGGTAGCAATCTGGCGGTAGCAACTCGGAGGACAATATATGATGGCTACTGAATAATTAGCTTCATAGAGGAAGCTCCTTGGGTGGGCTTCACTTGACCTAGTTTAAAGTAGACCCAGGCATGCTTAAGAAAGGAGTTTTGTCTGCAGTACAGATGTCTCCTGTCAACGGTGGTCGAACTTCCTCAGCTTTAGAGAAGAGAGATTGGTATTGATATTGCTCTTCCTTCTCTACCTTTACATGGTTGCTACTCCTGGCTCCGCAGGAAGCACGCCTCCATGTCCAGACTTAGCAGCCTATGAGGGGAAGCAGAAAAACTGGCTGCTCTCCAAGCATAGTTCAAGGAGACTTTAATTATTACAGTACAAGAAGAAGCATTTAGCCCAAACTATGTTTTACCCTTTTTCTAGGAGAAAATGTATGGAAGGTGGACAAAAAACCACATGTGGATTAATTTCAAAATACAGGTTTTTCGGTGTATCTATCCATTGCAGGATAAAAATAACTGTGCAGTAACTGAACATCTCTTTCTGCTAATTTACTATGATGCAACCCTACTCTAACAATCTACAGTCAAAACTGGCTAATTAGAAAGCAGATGACTCTATAAAAAACTTAGAGAACTCTTATTTATGAGTTACTGCATAACAATTTTTTTATCTGACACTTTATTTGAAATTAATGCAAAGCTAGTAAAAGCGGCTGTGTTTTACGGTTTTCCCCTATAAATTTTGAAATGTGTAAGATGCAATAATACTAGACAAATAAAGATAGAGTGTACACTTTTATTCCAGTGTGGCTTCAGCTAGGTTTTGTTTAGAGTACCCAGCTGCGTATACAGACGCAGTGGAATTTGGTTTGTGAGGAACCTACAAAAATTACACGAATAACTAACATTTTTTTAATGAATAATACACAGACATGCACCTGCCTCAGAGACTCCATAGATTAGTCTTGCAGCCAATAGAAAAGCCCCTTGGAATTCAATTACATGGCTGGAAAACAGAAAACAAATTCATGGCTATACTTTTAGAACTGATACCAGCAAAATGTTAACCAGTTCTTGGCCTGAGCTTTTCCTGAGGATTAGATTTTTTTCAGTTTGCTTTACTTCCCTGTGGCTTATTGAAAATTTATATTATTCTATTCTATTCTTGCAGCTGGAGCCTCTCCCAGAAGATATTGTGCATCGAATCCCAAATATGAATGCAATAGCTTCTTTAAAAAAGACCACTGAAATTCAAAGTATGTTTCTCAGTTTGGGTTGTTGGGTTTGGGGTATTTTTTATTATTAATTAATGTCATAAACATTAGACTATTGTTTTGGAGAAAAGAGCAGGAAAATGGTTTATGTATAAAACAAAATGCTGTGTCTAGTGTGTATAAATATATATATATATGCTTTTATTTTTGTTTCTTTGACATCTCTCTGTTTCTGCTATGTATTTAGCCATGAAAAACTAACCTATTGACATTATTTAGAGCTTTCGGATTCCTGAATGTTTCCAAATCTTTCCATTTCAGAGCAGCTTGGATGAATAGATGTTTGTCAGTGAGGAACAGGATCAGGCAGTTTAATTAGAGCTCTAACATATATATTACATATTTATAATTCATCCTTCTTATCCAGTAGTCACCTAGATACTGGACCTAGTAAATGCTCTAAGTAAATCTGCTGTATACGATAAATTCCAGTAAGTCATTTTTGCTTAGCAGTATGTCCTAGGGTAGCTCATGAGTTAGTGTCTTCCTTAAAATTCCCTGTTGATAATCTGTTAATGATCTGGAAGGAACCAACAAGTTAAGGAAAATAATGTTCTATGCAAGATAGAACAGATTTGCAAATGATAATAAGGACAGAAAGCTGCACACAGGCCACAGATATGAGGAAAGAATTTGCCATTCTGTTTGAAATAGGTATGTATTTAACGAAAAATGGATCTGCAGAAAAAAAAAAAGGTGAATTGAGAAACAGAAAAAGATAAAACCAGCTTTAGAATGGCTTAGTGTCTTACTATAAATACACACAAGTGATGGCAATTCAGAAAGAAGGAATAGATTTAGGAACACATATATAGTGTATGTCTAAACACGAAGTCCAGAACTCTGCAGAGTGGCTTAATTTTGCCACACTTAGATTTGAGCTGAACTGGTACAGTCATGGCAGTCCAGTCTGCCATTCTGAAACCTAAGTTGGGCTGCTCAGAGTTCGAAGTTATTTATAGACAATGTTCTGTCTTTTCTTGCAGCTATTACCTAAAAAGTTAGGCATACCTCATTTTGTCTGGAGAGAGATCAAGTGTTAGAAAGGAATATGCTTGGATGACAGAAAGGAGCACTGAGGAAGTTCAGTGCAGCTTTATGGAGAATATATATTTAGATGGAATTAAGAGAAGCAAGTACATGTTGAATATTATGGGGAGTTATGCAGGCTGAAAAGCAGTAGGATGTGGAGTAGCACCTCAAGAGATACTGAGAAAGTCTGATTTGTTTGGATGATTTCTTGCATGTGTATTGAGTCTGTATTTCTGTGATCCAACTTTCATAATGAATATTAGCAACATTTCAGACAAAAAAAGTCCCTCCTCTGTGTTTTTTTGCAAAAAAATTGAAGATACAATACTGAGTTAGACAATGAGAGGAAACAACTTTTTTTCTAACTAGAATGGAATTTGTATAAATGTTTTGTTTGTGACAGTGATCCAAAGCTCCTTTGGAAATGTAATACATTTGGAAGTAGTAGTTCCCACACCCATGTAATATGCTATTTCTAAACAATCCTGTTCACTAGCTTGAATACCACCCCCTAACTGTTTTTTTTCAAGCAAGCATGTCCAAATCTATCTGTGAAAGGCAATTACAAATGCCTGTAATAGTGACAGAAATATTCCCTTTTATTATTTCCTGGTAATAATCAGTACTCTCAAAAATCTTTGAAGGATACTTAAGCACATTTTCATGCTGAAAGCCAAAGCATACCTAGAAGACTGATTTGGTTTCATTGTTTGTTCTTGCAAGCCGTGATTGCTCCTCAAGTTTTGTGTGAATGAAACCAGCAGTATGCTTCATTCTTTCCCCTGAGCTCCACCAAGTTCTTCTCAATGAATGTAACAGGACCGGTAGAATTTCACATTAGCACAGTAGAGATGGCATTTTCAGAGATGTGAGTAGTTTAAGGCAGATGCTTTTTGAGCTCATTTAGTTGTCAATCCACAGCATACCTAGGGTTTCTAACAAAGCTCCTTTGCAGCTGCACGCTGTGATTGCCTCTCTGTCCCACAAGACTTTGCCTGCAAATCTTTTGGCTGAATTTGCATGCAAGCCCTGTATGTTTTGTGTATAACACATAAATATCATCCTGTATAAAAAGAAACTTGCAAAAGTGTTCTGCTTACAAGTATGTTTGTAAAGTACAGTTTTCTGATTTTAAAGAAATATCTATCGTTGCTTTTTCACAAGCATCAGAAAGCCCTCTTTGCATGAGGTACCCACTGCTACCTGGATGATATTCCTAACTGGGGCGGCTTTAAACTTTCCTCCCACAAACCACAAACACCCTGCCAGGTACTCCCCTTCTCCAAGACCCTCCATTGCAGCATAGGTGCTACCACCTGATTCCTGGCCTGGCTCTGCTCTCCCTCTTTGTCACCGAAGCTCCTCTCGTAGTACAGCTCTCAATGCAGGGAAACAAGAAAAATCACTGATCACTTGGGAGTGAAGGGCAGTTAAACGGGCACAGAGAGCCCACTAATATGCTTGAATTGGCCCTGAGTTTTAGTGTTACAAGAACGTCGGGATTCAGGGGGCAGCTGGTGTGTGAGCCTGTGTGTGAATGAGCGAAGGCGATGTAGCAATCCTCACTGATGCTGTTTTATTGTTGCTGCAGGAGAGCAACACAGTGGTAGCTGGTTACTAATATTTTATGAATAAGAGCCCTTGAAAACTCCAGCAGTGAACATGGGTTCATTTCTTTTATAGGCAAGAGGGGGTATTAGTCCCATGCCAACAGATTTGATTTTCTTGCACATCTGTTTCTGCAACAAAAACCCCACCCACTCCGTGAACATTTAGCTCATAAATTATAGGGTTTGAATTGGGTGTATATTGCAAAGACTGACTTTTGCACATATGATCTGTGAGAACATTGTGGAATGCTCATATAACATTTTTTGTTTGTTTTTCATGTATTTTTAATGAATAGAGAATATGGTGTCTGAGCACAGTAATAATAGAGAATATTTTTGTCTTGTTTTTATAAAATTTGCCAGGCTGCCGTCATTGAGCCTCCTGTTATGTACATAACTTTTTAGCTGTGTCTTTCATGCTTCTGGAGTAAAGCCAAACTCCTAACACTTAATCTCAACTTTGTAGGATACTTAATACACTTTACATTTTATCCCCAGAAGGTCCCTGTTATTTAAAGATTCTGCTAACTACTCAAACGTGCACAGTATTAGAGTTCAAAGAAACACACTGGCCATGCTCGCTGGTTGTTCCTGCAGATTGACTTGGGCTTTCATCTTGCAATGATATTTTTGAATAAAGACATATTCAGGCTTTATTGACGGCTGCTTTCTCACTGGAGGGAAATGTTCATCTTTCGAAAAGCCTGAAACTGTGTTGAGAGCTGTGTTACCAAAGGGGGAGTTTTCAGAAGCCTTTGTGCAGCACAGGCAGCACCACCGTTGGCCTGGCCTCCCAGCTGTCAAAGCCTCCAGCTACCCTCCGGATAAGCACCTCGACTCAGTCTGCTGCCCAGCTGCCAAAATCCTCCTTTTAGCCCTCGGAAAAGTCCCCCACTTGATCCCCTCTCTTTCACAGCTGTTGAAACCCTCCGTCTAATTCCCAGATAAGTACCCTGATCCAACCTCTGCAGCAGCTGCTGGAAACTTCTTGCTAAACACTGACTAAGCTCTGGTCCAGAGCTTCCAGCCTTCCCAAAGCTCCTAATTTCCAGGTGTTATTCACCTGTCAATTAGTGAGTGCTCAGTGGATTGCTGGACTATAAGAAATGCATATGTAAATTCTTACTTGTTCACCTAGTTACTGATAACCAACCTCTGTTTCTTGACAGCACTGCAGTAGCAGTCTATTTGATACATTGACAATGAGTCACCTGCCTTTATTATTTGTGTTGCTCGAGAAGCTTCTTACTGTCTCTTCTGTCAGAGGCAGAAAGCTGAGAATACTCACGCTTTTAATCCGCTGCTGTGTTTTTACACAGCAAACCATAAAGCTCTATTCCTTATGATATCTGGCAGCTTTCCAGCAACAGCCAGTTCATATATGAAAGTTTTAAATAAATTATTGTTCTAGTATACGCCCTGAGGTTGGAGGAGAAAGAACATCCAGGACTAACAAACCTGATTGTTCTGGCAACATCGCTTCAGTCTGAGCTGGCATTTCTGACTTTTTTCCTTTTCAAGACAGTGCTGTGTGAGCACTTTGTACAACAATGTTCATTTTTCTAGTCCTATTTGCTGTATATGCGTCAACTCTCTGCCATATCAGAGCTTCTAGGTATTAACCCTGCCTTGAACTCCCTTCACCTTGTGTAGATAAAGCCAGTAACTTGTCTGACAATATGAGTTCATTAGTCTGTGTGTTACTCCTTCAGTTTATTACCTTCTGGGGAAGGGTGTGGCACAGCCCTTGGAATGAAAGCACTTTCCAACTTGGCATTCTTAGCTTCAGAAATATACCTCTCCGCTGCAGTCTGAAATTTCAACTGTACTGCTTACACTGCAGTGATTTTAAATTATAATCACCCAGTGTTGAACTAAGTGATTACTATGCTTGTACCACCATGCTAGCTAAAATTCCCATAAATTATTATGTGTGTTTTCCTTAGGCAAGTACTGGAAGTCAGTGGAGCCATACTCTGTGCCAGTAGATTGTGCTCTGGCTGAGTCTCAGAAACAAGAGAGGGAGGAGACAGAAACGGTATCTGCTATGGCCTCTCTTTCAGTGGATGTTGAGCAGTGTATCCCTCAGGAAGGCAGCAGGTAAGCATATGCAATTGTTGCAAAGGATAAGGCTTTCAGTCCAGTCAAGTAAGATGAAGACAGCTAAACTAAGACTTGTTTCAAAATTATCTCTTAATTGAGGTACCTGGATTATTTTACTCCTGGGTTAGAGTTCTCTCACTTGGCCACTGGAAGCAGAGATATCCTATTCTAGCAGGTATTTTTTTTGTGTAATTCTTTACTAAAGTTCATGTTTAGTACAAAAATCTTGTTTTCTCCCCGTGTCTAATGCTTTCTATTACATAAAAAGTGCAATATCCATATGAGAAAAATAGACACAATCAAGCGTAGTCAACCATATTCTTCCCATTGGAAGCTATTCAAACCTGTTTTAGTTTTAATTTTCTAGGAAGGCATTTAACACACTGTCAGATAAATTTAATAAGGATGGACTTAAACCATTATTAAATGATACTAGACAAGCATTAAAAGTTACTATCCTGGAAGCAATGGAACGGTGCCAGTATAAAACTTAAAGTATCCCTAACCAGAATCAGGGCCAATATTTTCTGTGTACCAAGCTGAAGGTACACCAGCAAAGAAGGAGAACATTGTTTTTTCCAGCTTACCATCTGCTTTTTTTACATTAATGAAGATTGCTTTCAATTTTACAAATTAAGAAACTGGTACAAGAACTACTGTTGGCTGTTTTGACAATTAGAGATGAAAAAAAATATTATATCTATTAGATGTGGCTTTGTAGATATGTCATCTACAAAACAGTACTTCTTCAATGAGTTGTTAGAAGTCAGAAAAGCCACTGAAGAAGTTCTTGGAGTTTCCCATGTACTCACTTTAAGGACAAACTTCCCTGGCCTTCTCCAACAGAGAAAGACTCAAAATGCAGTGGAACCATTCGGTTTCCATCACAGAGAGAAAACAGGGGAGGGAGGAAGAAAGGAGAAAAAAGCCTTATAAGGAGACTCCTCAGCTCCCTGCGGGCTCTGGAGCAGAGCTGCATAACAACAGGAGAGAAAGGAGGGAGCTGTGGGCAGGCAGAGTGGTGGTGGGAGAAGAGCCAGAAGGATCCATGGCTCCTACATTGTGACAGCTACTTGTTTGATTTGCTTCTTACCTCCTGTGTTGACTATTCTAATCCAAACGGAACTGATAGGCACGTGGGGAAATAGCACAATGCTAAACCTATGGATGTATTTGGGAGCGAACATCTCTCACAACAGTGGGACTGCTCATCTGTCAGTAGGTTAACAGATGTGGCACAAAGGGGCACAGAGGAAGCAGCTAGCTGGTAAAGTTTGTGGTATTTACATAATTACCTGTTTACATAATTACCTGTCTGATTGTAATTATATTTTAATATCCTGTGGCTATTGTTGTGCTAGTATTATTGCAAACAAATCCATAAAAGCTTAGGGAATAATCCAGTGACCAATGGGAGACATATTTTAGATTTGTGGCAGTGATAATCAGTGCTCAGCTATGGAATAATATAAGGTTTCTCATATAAACTTGTGACAGTTACGAGACACTTCCGCTGGCCAGGGACAGAAAGGTACCTGCTTGTATGTGAATAGATTTGAAATATAAAGAATTTTGGTTAAAGTGTTGGAACTAATGTGCTCAAACAAAGTAAAGATTTAAGCTGTCTGGAAAAAAGGTGTGGTTAATTTTGTGTATTTTGATATTGCTCAGAATAACCAAGAATTGTGTTTGTTAAGTGCCTTCACTCACTCAAAACTACAGCCATTGAGAGCAACTACTGTTCCTACATGACTTGAACAAAATAACCCTTTGAGTAATGCTGCACTTAAATATTGTATTTATTACCTACCTACTGATAACCTGTGACAGTTTCCACCCATTCTGAAAACAGAATTTCAGAGCAGAGCTGAGAGAAATAGAAAAAAATGGATGTGCTGAAATGTACACAAGTGGAATTCATGTGGCTGCCAGATTCATTACACTTAATCAGTTCTGGACTCTTATAGGGATGAATCCGTCATGATGAATTGTTCTGTGGAAAAACTGCTTCCTTTGAAATATCTTCTGTGGTGCTGCAAAGATTTTTCAGCAGCACAAAAACCCCCTATGCACGCATGCGTTCCTAAGTCTGTTTCCACATTTGTAACCCACAAAGAAGACACCCGAAGCCAAATTGCCATCAGAGAGCGACAGGACAACATAAGTGCTGTCCCACTGGGCCAAAATTGATAGTTAGGTTATCTGAGGCTTTGGGACATCATTCTCTTTGTTTACTTCCTGCTGAATGTAAAAAGAAAAATTGAAACAAAAATGGTCGCCCAGAAGGTCTGATTTTGAGGGTCCTCTCAGCTGCAGGGAGACCTGAGAGGACCTATCTGCACTTCAAGCATGAATGAAAGTCCAGCACGGGGTCATAAACTCAAGGATTGATTCAACACCAGACACTCTGGTTTCTTGCCAGTATAATTGCATTCATTTAATGACAAAAAGTCTTTCATTTAATGGACATGTGTCGACATAAACTGCTGTGACGTTATGAGTCCAACTTTGCTTTTTCACATTTGATATAGTTGTTGTAATTAACGACCAAGTATGCAATGCTCCTTCTATGGCAAATTACAGGGTTGCAGGGACCTTAGAAGATGTCCGGACTCTCAAGCCCTCTTGATAAGGCTACTGTAGATGTGCCCCTCCTCCCCTCATTCTAGATGAGGCCACCTTCTGAAGACCTGTTGCAAACTTGTGCATTGAGTGTTTGTTTGGGAAAGTTGGTTGTGACAGGCAGGGCAGGATCAGAGTAGAAAGCATTATAGCTGACAGGGCAGCCTGGAGGATTCCTTCATTATGCCAGGAGCTGATTTTCTTTCTCTTAATTCCCAACATGGTCAGCCAGGCTGGTAACTCTGGCCTGCATCTCTAACCCTCTTTCACTGAATTGATAGTAGAGATCCTGTTGACTTCAGCTTTGGATGGTCAGGCCTTCAGAAGAAGAAAGCAGCAGCAAGAGCCCCTTTTCAGGAAACTCTTGCCAGTTATGTTGGAGGATATACTGGTGTTTGGAGTGAAATGACTCACTTTAAACTCAGTTTTTGGGTAAAGCAGCTCTTTTCCTGGCCAACTCATATCTGACTCATTTGCCGCTGATGAATAAAGGATAAAATGCTCCTGGCTAAGGCCCATCTTAAGTATTTCTCTTTCTTTCTTCTCTCTTTCTTTCTTTTCTTCAAGTGACAGTGCCGATTATTTTTTTATTTGATTTTCTCTGGCAGGCTAAGTGAAGAAAACCGTGAAAAACTGCTATGCTTTTGGTGTTTTATTTTACCAAAGCACAACTCTACATTTTAAGATCCAATTGAAACTTGATTATAGAGTTCAGAAAAGAACAGATACAGAAAAAAGAGTTTGTGGATAGGAAAGAAAACATGCATGATGCTAACATAGATTTAAATTCAGATGCAATTAAAGGAACAGGCATGCCCTATAAAACATTTCAACTACCATAACTTTAATGTTTTGGTAGCTGCTTATTCCCTATGTGAGATACAGATTTATCTGAATTTTGCTTTGACCAGTCACTAATTTCAGAAATCTTGCTGTGAAAATGTTCAGTACAATGCTGTCCCTGATACATTGGAGCTTCTGTATGTTTCTTCTTAAAATGGAAAAATGAAAGGGTGTGGAAGGAGATCTTTTGCACTTACTATTTTTGCAGCACAGAGTAAATCTTGAGAATGACATTTATCAGAATTTCACTTTACAGCTCTCATTCAGCTGAGCATGGATTTTACTCAAATGGAAATGAAAACAAAGTCTAATTTTTAGATATTACTCTCAGTGTTACAGAGCTACCAGTTGCAGTTTCAGTCACATTGCATTATATATTATATACCAGAGCAACTGTTTGGATCATGGGGTACAGCAAGCCACCATCTAGGGTCACTTGCTGTGTTTGTGTGTCAAGTCATAAAGCTTCACTTAACATTTCACTATTTAGGTATACACCTCAGCTGGGCTGAGTAGCCTGCACCTACCTGGCCGCAGCCCACATAAATTTTTCAAAACCCTTTTTGAACCAGTTTATACCTTTGGCACTCAGGTAGTGAATCCCAGAGCCTCATCAGGCACTGCACTTCTTTTTCTTTGCTCTAAACTTACTGACTGATAAATTCACTGGGCACTCTCTCATTCTTGTATTGTGAGAAATAAAAGCAGCTCTTTTCTTATTCATAGGCTCTGCCCTAATTCTGGATTTAAAGGCTTCAGATGTCTCGAGATTCTCTATTCCTCCTGGCATAAAAATAATTTCTTATCTCTGATCATTCTTGCCCCTCTCTATATCTTTCCTAGGGTTTTTTGAGATGGAGTAAAAGCTGCATGCAGGGCTCTAGGTGTTGGGCACACAGGATTTACACAGTAGCTTAATTTGGGGGATTTTTTCTTGTTTCTGTGGCTCTCTGCTCTTCTACCATTAACTCCAAACTCTCAGCCATAGCCATCAGTGTATACAACAAGTTAAAACTGTCCTCCCCGTTGTTTTGTTTGTTGTGTATTACTTTGTGGTTGTTTACCTTCTTTTCCACTCAGAAATGGTGTTATGGGTTTTAGAGCTGACTAGTATCAGTAATTTTGCATCATCAGCAAACATTATCACTGAAATGAAGTAGTCTGCCAAGTCTTTTTGAGATACTATGGAGAATCCCACTATAGTAAAGATTCACCAGTATTATTACCTGTTTTCTACTTTTGGTGGATTGTTAATCTACAAGAGGACCTTCTCTCATAACCTTTGTTCCTCAAAGCATTTGAATGAAATTGTTGGAAGACTTTTTTGCATAGCGATATCATTTGATCCCTCTTCCTTCATTTCCCTCAGAAAGTTCTGATAGGTTTGTAAGTCTTGCTTTCTCTGTAAGTGTTAAGACGTAACTCTTATCCAAATTACTATTACCTAAATGCTTACCAATTCTATCAGTGACTAGAACTGCTATCAATTTCTCCGTACAGACTTACTGTATCTCCTGTAGTTTCCAAAACAGGAATTGCATTTCTTACCTTCTCTACCTCTGGCATGGATGCTAATTTAAACAGTAGAATATGCTCAATAAGTATTTCTTTAGCAACATAAAGATTACATTCCCCTAGAACTCAGTGGACAAATATCATCTGCTCTTAACAGTTTGGCAATTTTTAATGTATCAGTTAGTTCTAGTGCTGATTCAGTTTAGGGTAGGTCATCTGCAAATAATAAAATCTCCCTGACACTTTTCAAGTGAACACAGATATAAATAGTTCATTTTGCTTTTGTGATCTACCTTCCTTGATGCTCCTTTTATGCTTTGATCATTTCTTCTGATGTATTTTGAAAGATCTTTTTATTATTAGTTTTTATGCCTTTAACATGTTGCTCTCCAGACTGCCCTTTGGCCTGCCTCATTGAGGGCTTACATTTAACTTCCCAGAGTTTGTACTTTATTTAATTTGCCTTATTCGGACATTATTTCCTCTTTTGGGAGTATACACGTAGTTACCTTATTCTGCTCTTGAGCTATGATGGCTTTTACTTTTAGTTCCTTTTTCTTTGATCCATACGAAGTCCATTTTTACTAGGATATACACTTACTCGGGATTTCTTATGTGATGTCTTTAAACACTCTCCAAATCATCTCCATGATATAGAAATGTACCTCTTTTTCCCTAGCTCTCTGCTACCAGAGGATCACTTTTCAATTACAATGATCTTCCCTGAGACAGCTGAGTTAAATTAGGAACAGATTATGGCATAAAACAGCCATACCATGGCAGAAAATCTATCTTTTGTTCAGCAGTTTCTGTGACTTGGAAACATACCTTGAATTTTTATTTTTATGTGTGTGATGATGTAGCTATGAGGAATCCCTGTAATTCTGATTTTAAAAATAAAATAAAAGAAACATTTACTTCTTTGGATGATGTACAGGGTTTATCTATATTCTTAAACATTAACTTTTTTTTTTAAGTGTAGGTGTGTACTATTTTAAATAATATTCTCATAAATAATGTGGTTGCCGTTTATTCGCATCTGCTGCAGAACAATAGTTAAGATGTCACACGTTTTGCCAGATTTTATCCATATGGCAGGATTTTTGCCTCATCTATTTCTTTTGTTTTAAGATTTAAATAGAATCAATTTTTTTAACACTAACTACAAAGAGACTACTTTGTTCTGCCTTAGTGTGAATTGCATATAGAGAGAGCTATAGGTGAGCGCTCTTTCCAGCACACCAAAATAAACAGAATGCAAGAGGCCTCTGCTCCAATGAAACTACAGTTTAAATAAGGCACAGTGAAGGCTTAATGAAAAATCTACAATCACTATAGTCCTAATCAGTCTCTTTCTAGATCTGCTGACCACATGGAATCAGTCCAGATCAGACTCAACCTCACAGCTGCATCTCTGAGGAAGGAGTCAGAGCATACAATACAGGATGAAGTTTTTTGCCTGGTTTATGTTTTTATGCCAATTTCTTGTCAGCTGCAGGAAGACTGACTGTACTGATGTAACTAACAGTGACATAACTGAGATAACATAAATTTGACCTGTCAGACTTCCCCCTTGATTTTTTTCTGAGAACTTTTGATTTTAGCAGAATGGGTATATATTCATTCACCTCTTAGTGTTATGTGACTACAGTGTTTTTATCTCTGTACTAAGGGCCCTAAAGTTTTACTGGCTCTTGCACAAAACTCTGGCCTAAGCCATTAGCCCATAAAAATAAGTGTTGTTAACGATAAGCCATTGGATAGATCCGGTGACTTCTTGGACATTAATAAAATGAAGTTAAAGCATGCCCATAAGTTTTCAAAAGGAGACTGGAGAAGGCTGTGTGAGTACTCACACTACAAGACAACAACTGGATTCACCAGGGCACCCTAACCTCCTCTCCCTTTCCAAAAAGGACCTCACATCTTACACCTGCATATAAAGATTTCTACTGGTGTTTTGGCTCTGGCTGATGCAAATATTGGCATATTGTTAGAATATATTGGGATATATTAGAATATAGCACTCAGGATTGGTCCTGGCACTCAGAAACACTCTCACCAGTGAAAAATTACCCAGGACTAAAACTCTAAATAAGATCATCTCTCAGTTTTACTGTGGTCATGAGAATGTTAGTCTCAAATTCATGTGAGCAGGCTGTTGCACGTACCATTTTCCTAGATCCTTGCAAGTAACCCAAATGCCCACTTTCATTTCCAGAAGATTTCCAGAGCTCTCCTTCTTCCTGCTCTGCCAATCTCCAATTGGAATCTATTGACAACTATTTCTTCTCATTCATTCCCTTTCCCACAGCAGAACCTAAAACCTGAACTGTTATCTGCTTCCAAATGATCCTCTTTCTGGACAGACCCATAAGGTGCTGGATGTTTAACAAGGGCTTATTGCACTTTTGCATGATACCAGAGGATGGGCAGGTCTTCCAAAAGTGGCTGGAGAAAGTGGAAGCGTGTCGTCAGCCCAACAGCAGCATACAGCATCAGTATGAATTCTCCACATGATGAATGATCCTTATCACAGCAAAGAACCTCACAGCAGGTGGGGCTCCATCCCACTCTGGCTGCCACTGTGCGGTCTCTGCTGCAAGCCAGAAAAATGCAAGAGGAGAAAAAAAAAAAGAGAGAAGACAGAGATATCTCAGTCATTTTTTGAAAGAGGTCTCAATAAACATTTTTATGCATATTTAGATAAGCTCTCCAGGCTTTTATTGCCTGTTGAAGGGGAGCAACGTCCTGCTGCATCTGCACACAGGTAGGGAAGCGCTCCCACCCCAGCACTGCCCCACCCAAAGTGGCCCCTGCTGCAGCCTTCCCTGAAATCTTGCTTCACGTTGCCTCTCAGGGATGAGGGAACTGCAGTGATTACTGTACACAGGATACATTCTCCACTGGGTGGTGAGGAACAAAAGATTTGAGATTTAGAGATTAATAATCTTTTAGGGTCAGTAACCCTTTGGAAAGTGATTAGTTTGAAAAACATCTTCTTTTTCATATATCATTCGTCTGACATTTTTCAATATACTAGATGTGATCATTCAAATCATAAGGGAATGACCTATATAAAATTATTTAAAGACACACTGCTGAATTTTTTCTTTGGGAATGACTTTAATAAACTCCAGATTCATTTAAAATTCTCTGGCTTCCTTGCTGAATAAACTACCAAAGCGCATGCAAGACCCCATTAATTACTCTTTTTTTTTCCCATGGGATCGCATGAGTTTGTACCTTCTGAGGGATATTTTACTGAAGCCAATTATTATACTGGCTTACCAGATTTAACTGGTAAACTTATCTTTTGTTTTTTAATATGCAATTACTTTTTACTCTCCCCTCATTTCAAAATTGCTTGAAGTGACTATTTTTAAGGAGGTCTTAAGCCCATTTGTTATATGGTATTGTGCCAGACAGGTGAAAAATGGTTTATGTCCAAATTCTTACATACTTCGACAGTTAAACCCAGTGAAGTCTCACTGTTTTCTCACAAGCTTCCCATTTTATAATTAACAGCATAAATCTCAGGTGCAGTAGCCTGTCAAATACAAGGAATTATGATGCTTTATGCCAGATAAGCATATGTCCCAATTGCTTTCTTATTGGATGTTTTAAAGAGCTCATCTTGCCTAAGCTGATTTTTTCCCAGAGGCTTTCAAATAAAAGATATATGTATAATCTGATTAGATATTATTAACAGATACCCTTTCTATGACAGTGATCTGCTGATTAAGTTCAGAATTCAATCTCAAGTTGTAGTCAGACAGGCAGGAAGGCAGGCAATGCATTTACGAAAGCACAGAATCTGAAATCAGAGAACTGAAGTACACCAGAAGAAACACTGCTAACTACTTGGCTACTAGTGAACTATTCTGCTTTAATAGTATGGGCCCACTTGAAAAAATAAATACACGTATTTTTAGTTGCAAAAGCTTGTAAAATAGAAGTATCACAGCTATTTTTTTCATGAAATTTTTTGACTCTGTTGACACAAGGCATGTACATTTCTGGACAGAAAATTATAAAATATTCTGACATATTTTAATATAAACAGGAACATTTCCAGTGATTGCTTGGATCTAAAATGTTTTTCCACTTGACATTTGTTTATACTTCCTAGGAAAGTAACTCTATTTATGGATAACTGAATAACACAAATAAACATCAGAGAGGGCTGAAAAATCAGCTTTGATTATGCATGAAAATCTACAATGTCATTGTGTACTCTTGTACCGTATTCTGATTGCCTGTTTATTTTTACAGAGCTGCTGGCGAGCCCATGGAAGAAGAGCCAGCCTTGTGAATTGCCAAGTCCTCCCTGATATTTCCTGTGGGTGACATCATTGTGTATCCCCCAAAGCACCCTCAGACATGTCTTGTCTGCTGCTTGGGTGGCACAGATCAGATGGAACATAAACACTGGGCACAAAACTCTGAATAGCAGCTTCACTTGTTCTTTGGATGGACTTGAAAGGACCCTAAAGATTCCTTAAATGTAACCGCTACAATTCTAGAGTTACAGTAAAATGGGCTTGGGAGAAAGAGCCTAGAGCATGCTTTTTATATGCTGTTTGACCCGCTCACCAACATAAATTATGAAATAGAGTATTACAAAATTCTACATGATAGATTATAGATAAAGGAATTGCAACAGCCAGCAAAATACTTGGTAAATTTTATGAATCACTTTCTGACACTTTTTACTGGGTAATTTTTTTCATACTGTGTTAAATTGTTAATAGAATTTGTTTTCTTTGCTCTGTGTAGTGAAACAAAAAAAAGAAAAAAACCCTTTATTTTACATGACATTTTTTAACCCCCTGTAATGAGTTCTTAGCTGAATAAATGAAAGGTGTGTAAATTGCAATGAGGGATTTTAGCTAAAGGGAAAGTACTTCTTATTGTACTATAAATCCCTCGAAGTAGTGTGCTTGATGGTGCTTTATTTTCTTTTCCCTTCCCCAGCCATCCCTCCCCATTTCATGCAATCTCTTCTATCATAAAAACACATTCATGATTCTCTAAAACAAGCAATCGTCTGCCTTTAAAAAAAAGTGCTGTACCCTCCGTAGTTGACAGTAGCTCTCAGCACATGTGCAGCAGAGATCAAGCAGTCTCTGAAAAATGGATGGCTTTTCAAATGTGCTTTTAGTTTGTTCTGAAATGTTTCTGCGTCCTGACTCTAAGAGCAGTGATCTTCAGTAATTGCGTGCAGCTCATTTGAAGCTCAGGTGTTTCTGTGGAGGTTGTGTTGGAGTGTTTTTTACAGGTCATCATGTGAATACGAACTGATTCTTTTATGTAGTCCCGCACCAAGAGAGCTGATGTTGCTTAAGAAGCTTCAAAGAGTTTAGGCTTTATTTTAGATCTCCAAAGTGCAGCAAGATCTCCCTGCAATGTGACTTTAGCTGTTTAATTCCATGTTTGAGAACGTAACATAGGGTCGTGCCTTTAGCTGATAATGAACGCTTAAACTGTTACACGTGTTGCCTTACTGTCAGAGAAAGAGATAGGGCATGTATGTAAGACTACTTCAAATGAACAAAACTCTGCTACAGCAACTTTTATTTTGTTTACAACTTTCTCACCTAATGAACCCTGGGAGATACCTTGAAGTATTTGACTTGCAATGTTTGATAGCTCGCTCAGCATTTAAAAGCAAGTGATGTTCCTTTTTATATATTTTCCAAACTGAAAAGATATATTAAAGCCATAAGTGAAGACTGTCATGCTTTTTATTCTGAAGTCTGAAAGGAACCTTAATTAAAACAAGATTTTGGGGAAGGCCATGATATGAAAGATATGGAACAATATGGTTTCAGTTATAGGCAGACTCAAACCTGTAAATCAAAGATGAAAGATTTCACTCAAATAGAATTATATAATTCTCTTTTGTTATGCAGTCAGACTATATCTTTCATGCATTTGGGTTTGTTTACGATTAGCATTTCAATTTTAAAGACTTTTATTACTTATACAAAAGCTCTCTACTACAAGTTAGAAATCTGAGGCATGCTTTGAAAAGGGAAATCTGAAAAAGGAATGTCATTTCCTATAATGTGAAGTAAATTTTTATCCTGAAAGACTTGTTCTAAAATGTATGTATACCCCTCAGAAAGTGAAATAAAATTCTACCCCCCATTTACAAGCCAAAATCATGCTCATTTCAGTAATGCAGAGTCCTAGCAGGCTAAATTAACTCCTGGTGTAAGCCACCTCGCCTGACTTTGGGCTATTCTGAAGGGGTTGTTCACATCACTAAAGCAATCAGGGGTTCATCCTGCATTTTCAGCAGACTTATGATGGCAATCTTGCTCTCCATTTAATATAATTTTCTTCTTGTCATCAAAGAAGTTTCCCTTTAAGGAAACCAAGGAGCATAGCTGATGAGTTGGGTAATTTGTAGAGCTTTTTACATTTTGAAATAATAACTGCAAAATTTTAATTGAGTGCATAGTAAGATCATTTTAAAATTAACCCCACAAATGCAAAACTTGCTTGTGTCCTTAGCTTGCATGAAATTGAATATGAATTGCAGCCTGAAATATAAGTTACAAACTTTACCAATTAAAGTCCATATTCTGGAGTGGAAATCAGCTAAAGCTGTCCTTTGTAGCTGGAAATGTTTTTAAAATGCCAGAATAATTTGAATTAAACCACATTATAAACTCACACTTAGGTATTTGTACAGGCATACTCCCAGACATCTAGACATACAATTGGTTAAAGCTAGGATCATTTGGATAAACAAATGTGCAAATAAACTGCACACAGATTGTGTCCAGAACTCTGTTCTCACTGAAGTCAACAGTAAAATCCTCTTTGATTTCAATGGGAGATGGATCAGGCCCTGCTTTTTGTTTCCTCTAAGTCCAGAACACCATTACTTTTTGATTATGTCATTACAAGGCACCGTACAGCCCTCTGGGAAATGATCGAGGCTTATGGTGAATATCAACACTTCCTTCAAAGCAGACCTGGGCTTTCTGAGAGGGCAGTTTCACTTGCTGCTGTTTTCTTCTCACAGTATTTTTTATTACCATCAATAGCTCCCCACGGGCTACAGTTAAAATATCTCCCAGCCATTTTAGACATACTTCCAGGGAAATAGTCACATAGACATTCAAAAATGCTCAGTTTTAGCTGGATTCAACAACAAATTCCAATAATTTCAGAAAGATGCATGAATTAAATGTTTCCCCATTTCTAATGTTCAAGTGCAGAGGCTTAGGAACTGTTTTTTAAGAGATGTCACAGTCTTGTGTCTCCCACAGACTTCAGTTTAGGCTAGGGAGATTGACAACTCTGAAAATTAAGTCTCAGATACTTCAAGTTGGCTGTCAAAACACCTACATCTCAGCTTAGATTACTTCTAAAAATGAGTTTAAATGGATAAATGGAGGTGGGTAAATGGTGGTTTCTGTGAGTGATTCCATGGAGAAGGTGAAGATGAGGAGGTGGCAGAGAGCCCCCAGTGCCATCCTGACCCTCTGCCTGGTGCTGGTGGCACGGGGGCTGCCAATGGGCAGGAGGACATCCCACAGCACCCTGCCTCAGGCTGCCATTCCTGTTAGCAGCAAATCCTTGCTTGTTGGGGGAAGCATGCAGGAAGCATTGCACTCTGGATCAAGGTGTCCCTAAGTCCACAACCTCCAGAACAAGAGAAGTCTCAGCAGCAAGTACCACTAACTTGCTTGATCTAGTTAATATGTTTCCCTAGTGTTAGGGACTAAATATTAAGTTCAGTGGGGGTTTTTCTTGTGCTCTTGTATTTTTCTTGTACTCTTTTATTTTTCATGTGTTCTTATATCCTTAAACTCATAGTAGAAACTGAAAACTAAAAAGTTATATGACACAGGATATCAAGAAAAGAATTATTTTTTCCCCAGCTTAATGCTTTTATCTGAGCTGGAGTGGGAACAATGATGAACGGTAAATCTCAGAACTGCTAAAACCTAAGTGTGTCTTGCACTTCATTTTTGGACTCTGCACGCAGGAATTCTGTATGTGCTCATTTGGCTTTAATATAATCTGGAGCAATGAAGTGCTTGCTTATATGATTCTTTTTCAGGCAAAATTCCTAGCAAGTAATCAAAGTTCATGGGAATTCTGCCAGTGTAAAGATGACAGAATTAGTCCCTTTTTTAATTATGTACCTTCCTCATTTTACTTCAGTGAAAATGGAGTAACTAATTCCAGGCAAGCGAATCTGAGTAAAATAAAATCATTATACTGTTTTAAATAAACTTCATAAAAGAAAAAGAAAATATAAACAGCTGTTATGCAAACAAAGATGGCTGGTTTTTTACTTTGCAAAAAAGTCAACAACATGCTGCCAGCTGAATGAAAGTGGCAAGGCAAATCCCTCTCTAGAGTATGTGGTATTTGAGATGGTGTCCTATCTAAGTGCAGCCTCCCTAAAAAGCTTAGTGTCATAACCGGAGATGAAATATTAGAAAAGTTTTGCTGCAGCCAACACCAGAGGTCCTGTAGAGAACAAGAATGTAGAGACTGACTAATTTGTGTAGACAGACAGCAGGACACTTTCGGGGCAATGTGTCTGGGATGAAGAATTGGAGGGAACTGTTCCAAAGGCACTGATGGCTGTGAGGCAACTAACTTCTATTAGCTTGCAGGGGTAAGGAGATGCCCAACCAGCATTTATTATTTGGGAAATGCCCCCCCCATCCCACCAGCATGCCCACACATCCGCAGATGTGAACCTCACTGTACAATTTTTTTGTCCTAAGGAACAGCAGACAGGTGTGCTGCCCTGACGTATGTGCTGTGCACTTGCCCAAGAAGCTATCAGCCCCCAGCAGACACTTCATAACATGACTGACAGGGGAGATCTTGGTAAATTTCTTTTCTCAGTAGTGGCCTTTCCAGAAGTATAGCAGAGCATGTCTTTTTTTTATTTTAAAAGGTCACAATAGAGCTTTGTGAACCATTGTACTTTTTTTTTTTTTTTTTTTTTTTTTTTTTTTTTTTAAACAGATAACCATATGAAAGTAAAACAGAATATGTACATAGCAGGGGAAACCTGCTGGGAAAGAATTTCTCTTAAATCAAGTTTCTGCTACCTGGATTTGGAGGACTTTGGATTCTTAATTATCATTTAAGCTTTTACTTTGTCATGTCACTCGCTTTGTTTTTTTACCTATAATTGAATTCACCCTTGTAACGCATAGAAAACCATCAAAAAAAGTCTGTCTTTTCTGATAGATGCTCCTGCCCTTGGTGTGGGAATGAGAATAGCTTATCTTTGTCACTTTGAGCAGCAATTAAATGCTTCATTTTTGTGACAGATCCAAACTGGAGTGGTATTTTATGAGTAAGATTTAGCTGGCTGGCTGCTGATTGTTAAAAAAATGAAATTGTGAAACTCGCATTCCTCTCTAACCTCAAAAGGGACCCATTTTGATTTTAACAATGTAGTATTTTCACTTGATCCAAAGGTTTTTGTCCCATGACATCTTGTTACTAGCTCAATTTTAGTCTCTAGCAAATAACACACCACAGAGAGTGAAGACCAGAAAGGACATTCCAGCAACTATTAATTATATCTCTTCTGCACAATCCTGCATCCTGCTCTAGTGCCATACTCTGTGGTTCACCATATTAGAATAGTTTATAGCAAAATATAAGTTGTTCTGCTCCATCAAAGGTACTACTGTTCAGATGTTAATTAGCACACTGTGAGTTGGGCTGTAATTTATAAGGAAGACATGCTCCTGCACGTATGGTCTAAAGGCAAGTGACGCATGAAACC